CAACACCAACAACAACAACAACAACAACAACAACAACAACAAGAACATCAACATCAACATCAACATCAACACCAACACCAACAACAACAACAACAACAACAACACCAACAGCAACAACAACAACAACAACGACTACTACTACTACTACTACTACTACTACTACTACTAACGCTACTACTAACACTAACTACTAGTAAGCCGGCTGCCGGATCTCGCGGCATTTCACCGTGTGGGCAGGCTCAGCCTAGCGCTTAGCATTCGGGCTTCGGATAGCCCCCCCATCGCTGAAGATTGAGACATGTGTCCCTTGAGCACTAACCTGTGAACTCCGCCATCCAAAATTGAACTTGTAAACCATGAAGTCATTAAGGGTAAGGCTTAAGCGAATGCTTGCTTCAAGCCCACACTGAGCTCCGCATCCAAGAAGAGTTTGACAGTAGCAGTTGCAGCAATGGTGCTGGCATTGGTAAGATGGTAAGAGTAGGGTAGCATGCATGAACTTTGGCCACAGCAGTGATGGATTTCGGCTCCGGAGCCCTTGGCCCGAGCTTGGCCTCCCCACATTTGGCTGCAGGGGACATGCAGCAAACCTCTCTTTGGACCAACTGGGTTGCCGGAGGGTCTTAAAGGTTGACGCCCGTTTAAAGTGCGACTGCTTCGAATCAGAGCCGCAACCGAGTTGGTTCGATCGTTAACGTTGTGCAGGGCAACCGCAGTAAATAGAGTTTGGATGTTTTGTTGGGTACTTCTGCTCGGATGCCGCGAGGCGGAACGGACTTTTGATGCCCTGAAGTTTCGTTTCCTTACCACAACAAGACTTGGCCGCGCTTCTTGTCCATTACATATCCCCGGCATCGCCATGGCAGAAAGTCCAGGTTTCGGTTTTCAGTGCGCCAGGAACCCGAGCCCTCCCAGAAAAGCGTGACAGGCTTGGTCCAAGACGTGTTGAGGAGCGGACATGGCGATCTGACATGGCACCCTAACCCTAAACCCTAAACCCTGAAGCCCAATCGGACCACGCATGAATCCAGCGACCTCGGCCTTGTGGGGATGAAGTGCCCAATTCACACCCCCGCCCCTTTCCCTCCCTGTTTAAGGCTTTGCTACGGCATCGTCATTGCCTGGTTCTAGAAGGGCTTGACTTTCGCTTCCCGCGCTTTTCATGGCCGGCCTTGGGTGCCCATGGGCGGCGAGTACCTGAGTCCGGAGCTCGGAGTCGGGAGCCACCTCCCTCAGTGTGCCAGTTTACCGGAACTTCTGAGGCTACTGCAGACGCGATCATCTTTAGGGGTAATTTTTCGCGACTACGCCAGGGATTCCGAAGCCCCGAGAGCTCGGAAGCGGCAGGATTGCAGGCCCGGTTTGTTTTGAGCTCCGAAGTAGGCCAGGGCCTGATCTTTGTCATGACGATTGCCGGGCTGTAACAGAATTCACAAAATCGTAGTGACAATAGATGGTAACCAGAAGGGATTGCAGTGGTAGTGGTAGCAGGAGAAGGAGAAGGAGTAGCAGCAGTAGTAATAGCACCAGCAGCAGCAATGCCCAGTGGAAGTAGCAGTGTTTATTGTCGCCCTCTGGGAGGGCCAGGGGCACGAATCGCGGTCGTGACTGCACCAACACTCACAACACAAGTAACGAGTGCAAGTACTGGAGCAGGAAATGTAGTATACCCAGACTAGGAAAACAAAGCAAGTGGTAAGAATCTTACCAATGCCCATCAAACGTCCATGAGTCGACATACAAGGCCTCAGCCCGGGTGAGGAGGAGAGGCCTGCGGACAAGTGCTTGCTTTTTCACTTTCCGGGCTTTCCTTTTGCAACACTCGGGAGTGCCGATTATGGAAACCAGGAAGGCATCGCATGCAGGTTTTTGCTTGTGATGTGAGCGCCCGTGAGGACATTTGGACTCAAGGATGTTGTGTCAGACATGACACAGCTCGAACGGGATGTACTCTTTTTCAAAGTGCGAGATGGGGAGTTTGACAAGGCAGAGACAGCTCTCGTGAACTCAGATATGTCGTGGCGATACAGCCCCTTGAAGCAGAACTTCTTGTCTTTCATCGCTGCTCGAAGCCGCCGTGGCTCAGAGACACTGGCGACACAATGCATTCGTATGGGTGTTGATCTCAACGGCGTCGACAGCAACAAGCAAGCCCCTCTCCATGCAGCAGCACGAGGCAACATGACAATGGTGAGATTCCTTCTGAACCATGGCTTTGAAGTTAACTTCGCGGATCAATGGAACGAGACTGCAATTTTCTATGCAATGCGAAGCAAACATTCTGAAATTGTGAGATTGCTCATAGCGCACGGGACCAACCTTGATGTGAAGTCCGATTTGGGTATGACCCCACGAAGGCTTTTACGCGACCACCCCGAAGAGCTTCTCAGCTTAAAGCGGAAACGATCCGCATCTTCCTCACCGGATTGTGCATGTCCGGTGCCGCAACCAGAAGTCGCTTCGCGTGCTGGGAGATTGCAGAAGAAGGAGAAGGAGAAGAGGGTGATGAGCCACTCATCGATGCGGACAAGGCCACTATAATGGCTCAACATGATAACGTGCCAGTGGATGTAAAAGGCACCTTCGGCGGTCGGAGAGAGAGTTCGCAGGGAACCATGCGCACCTCCATGCAAGTCTGCCGTGGTACAAAGACTTAGAGCCCGAAGCTGACGGAGAATTTGTGAGCGTGCTCTTAAAATCTAGCCAAGCACGGATGGAGGGTGTTGACAGGTTGGCAAGCGGCTTGGATCCTTCTTCCTTCACATGACCAACCGCGTGCAAAGAGACAAAAACCAGCCACCTTTGATTCTGACCAAAACAACGTTGAAATAGGTCATTGTAAGGTTGACCCGCCAAGGAAGAGGTTTGGGAGGATTGCTGCTGGAGGCGGCGGAGGCAAATGTCGGGATCGACAAAGGCATCACAAACTTCACAATAAAGCTCGTCGTTTTGGAAACGAATGCAGCGGCGAGGAAATGCTATGAAAAGGCTGGTTTCAAGCAGCATGGCCGCAGAGACTCCTCATTTCCGCCAACTGCATGCCACCAGAAAATCCAATGGCTGCGCATGTCAAGGAC